CGTCCTGCCTCCTCACACCTGCTGCCCTTCTCTCTCGCTCTCCCTGCTGCCTCTCTCCCCTTGCCGACCCCCCCTCTCTCTCCTGCCTCTATCCTTTTCGCGACTTCTGCTGTTTTCACTCCGCCAGAGGTAAATTTCTAGTTCTGTAAAGGTATTCTGGAGCCACACAACACCTGTATATTCTAATTCTTTCTGATCTTCCCGTCCTTTCTATGTGAGGTAAGCACGCCAGGACAAGACACAACACTTCTCCATCACCCACACCATGACGATACTCCCCGAGCGCTTCTCTATTCTGTTAATCTTTTTGGTCAACTCCTCTGACTGGATAATTCTCACTCCATCTGACCTTTCATCCCATTCCTCGCTTGGTCTCCCCTCCGTTTCCTTTCCTGCACACACACACAATATCTTTTACTTACAGCTCTCTCGCACCTCCGTCACCTACAATGCCTTCTCCTGCACCGTCGTAACATAAAACTCTCCAGAAGGATTTTACCTTTAAATCACCACCAGCTCGACGACCCCCCCACTGGACTTAACCCATTTCTCGCCATTGCCAGGGAGTGCGGCCCGTCACTTACTCTGCACATGGTGGTCCAACTCTCAGGACTACTGCTGTTGTTGTTATAATGTTATTACTGTGCTTTAACAACGGCAGTTTACGTGTTGTTAGGATGTTAATTAATGAGATAACGGTGTGAAGCTATGTTGTGTGTTGCCTTTATGTCTTGTTGTTTTAGTTCACTTTTTTTGTAAACTTCCTACAGAGGCCCTCGTGTGTACCTGTACTCGCTACCTACGTCTTCTTGCAGTCAAACATAACACTCGCTCCACCTGGCTATATCGCTCGTAAACATTTCCACGATATCACCATTGAGAATAGCATTTACCTTGGCAGGTCCATCTCGGTCGTGTGGAAAATGTTTCCTGTTTTGGCAATATAATCTATTGTTTTTTACCTTATATATCCTGAATACAAATTATTATTCTGAACGAATAATTATCTGACTGAACTGTCAATGAAGTGTCACACCTACCACACCTGCTGTTGTGTAATACACCTACCACATCTGCTCCTTATTTTTTTTTTTACGGGGAATAGCCCACCCGGGCACAGGTCGTCGACCCACAACGGGGCCTAGGGGGCGAAGAAATAATAGAAGAAAGAGATTAAAAATAGAAAAGGAAAAGGTTATATTAATGTACACTACGAAGATGCCGGAAAACCAGCTTTTTGAAGTGAGACGGAGTGTATGAGTATGGAAACACAAAAGAAAGCAGAGCATTCCACAGTTTGGCTGTGTGAGGAAAGAAGGATGTACTATAACGGGTTATTCTAGTGTGACCGACATCCACAGAGAAGCGGTGGGCACCGCGGGCAAGACGTGTGTTACGAGCCCACGGCCTTGCCGGCGGTACACAGGATGCCAAATCCACCGAGCATTGCCCGTTAAAGTACCTGTAAAAGAGAGAGCGTGAAGCAACATTGCGGCGAAGAAAAAGGGATGAAAGATTGTCAACTCAAGGAGGAGAGTTAATAAGACGAAATGCCTTTGATTCCACCCTATCTAACAATTGGACAGAAGAAGAGCCACCCCAGATATGAGAGCAGTACTCCAAGTTAGGAAATGAATCCCTTATATACTTGACGCAACTGCTCAGGAGTGAAGTAGCTACAGCATCTGTACAGCATTCCCTACTTTCGGGAGGCAGCTTTTGCAATGTTGAGGATGTGTGGCTTCCATGACGTGTTAGAGGAAATGGTGAGGCTTAGCATATCTATTTTAGAATTTGGCAGAATGATAGCATCCTGAAATGTGATTGTTGGGTTTTATCGCTTGGCAAACAGGCGCTGACTCAGTCCTTCTATAATGAAGCCAGGGGGGGTAGACTATGCTGAACCAGCTTGATGTATCTGCCCGGGTCTTGAGACGCTAACATATAACCACCAGTACATCCCAACTGCTCGCCCTAAGCACACCGAGGCTTTCTGCTCTGAGCCAGACCTGAAGAATATTAATTGAACAACTTATGATGATATGCAACTTATATTGTGTTACTATTAAGATAATGTACTTATTTGTGTGCTAGTATTAAGAAAATATATTAATATATTATGTTATCGCCACGCACAATTGTGCGCGACGGCCACATGTTAAGTGAAGAAACTGTTTACAACTCAGAATAGCTTACTAAGCGAGATGGAGCTGGTTGCAGCTGTGTGACTGCCTGAGGGACAGTCTATCGCCGTCTACTGTAGAGGCAACATCTTGATTCTCGTCAGCCAACATCTTCCCGCAGGACATTATATTTGTTCTCGTTGGTCTAACCGTAGACCCCAAAACGTGAGTGTGATTGTGAACTGTTGAATTCTCTGAGAACTCTAAATAACTTTAATAAGTGTAATTGTGTACTGTATATTGATCGTATTATTCAAACTGTGTCCTGATGTACCAGCAGTTGTTATATGTGAATTGTAGTCAACAGGTTTTGACCGAATTATACTCATCGCGTCAACGACAAAGGTCTTAGCGTCCTGCACAAACCAAAATCGCTCCTATGAGCGATTACATAATATATGTCACTGAACCTTCAGTTTCCTCTTGTAAATTTATTATTTGTTTTTGACAGGTTTGACCGAAATAAACAGCATCGAGTTGACGTGGCATAGTGGGAGATCAGCTAATATGGAAAGTGTAATTGGTAAATACCGAGCATTATTACTTTTGAATTTAACCAAGTTTCTACCTCCCCACTCGGAGATGCTGCACAGATCCGCAGTGATAGCTGTAATGAGAGTTAGGGGGAAGGAGAAAATGTGAAGAAGAGTGAAGAGTAGAATCATCAGCATAAGAATGGATTGATAAAAAGAAGGAAGAGAGTAGGTGAAAGAGCAGAACCCTCGACAACAACTGCCATGAATCGGTTCTCAAGGAAGCTAGAGATTAGAGTACAAAGTGGGGGAAAGAAACCATAAGAGGGAAGTTTAGAAAACAAAGACTTGTGCCATACCCTGTCAAATGCTTTGGAGATGACGAGGGCCACGACGAAAGTTTCCCCATAATCCCTGCTGTTGTATAATACATCTACCACACCTGCTGTTGTATAATACATCTACCACACCTGCTCACCTGCTGTTGTATAATACACTTTCCACACTTGTTCACCTGCTGTTGTATAATACACCTACCACACCTGCTGTTTTGTAATACGCCTACCACATCTGTTCACCTGCTCTTGTATAATACACCTACCACACCTACCACACCTGCTGTTGTGTAATACGCCTACCACATCTGTTCACCTGCTCTTGTATAATACACCTACCACACCTACCACACCTGCTGTTGTCATATACACCTACCACACCTGCTGTTGTGCCATACACCTACCACACCTGCTGTTGTGTCATACGCCTACCACATCTGTTCACCTGCTCTTGTATAATACACCTACCACACTACCACACCTGCTGTTGTCATATACACCTACCACACCTGCTGTTGTGCCATACACCTACCACACCTGCTGTTGTGTAATACACCTACCACATCTGTTCACCTGCTCTTGTATAATACACCTACCACACCTGCTGTTGTGTCATACACCTACCACACCTGCTGTTGTGTCATACACCTACCACACCTGCTGTTGTGTAATACACCTACCACACCTGCTGTTGTGTAATACACCTACCACACCTGCTGTTGTGTAATACACCTACCACACCTGCTGTTGTGTAATACACCTACCACACCTGCTGTTGTGTCATACACACCACACCTGCTGTTGTGTATACACCTACCACCTGCTGTTGTGTAATGCACCTACCACACCTGCTGTTGTGTCATACACCTACCACACCTGCTGTTGTGTCATACACCTACCACACCTGCTGTTGTGTCATACACCTACCACACCTGCTGTTGTGTAATGCACCTACCACACCTGCTGTTGTGTCATACACCTACCACACCTGCTGTTGTGTAATACACCTACCACACCTGCTGTTGTGTAATACACCTACCACCCATTTATTAAACCCCCAGTGGTGACCCCTGGTGATGATTCCTGGTGGTGACCTCTGGTGGCGACCTCTGGTGGTGACCCTTGGTGGTGACCCCTGGTGGTGACTGTAACGGTGTGGTGGAGGTTTGTTACTTATATGTTAGCTTCACAACTGTTACGTTTGTAACTCTTGTAACTTGCCTTGTAGTTTCAGCTGCTATTTCAGTGACTTGTTAACACTATCTGTTTATGCTGGATCAAATTGTTTGATGTTCAAGTAAACACTAACTCCCTTTTCTGTTTATTGTAAAAATAAGTGAACAGTGAACAGTGTGTTGGTATAGTGAAGACTTAACCGACAATGAGCAACTGTTGTTTTAACGAGAGAATATGGGAGGCTTATGGACAGAGCCGTTAACTGCACGTCCACCGTGTTGAGATACAGTCTGGGACGCCGGTCACATAATACTGTGTCAACAGGTCACCGGAGCTGTGACAACATGTGAATGTCATTTCCTCCGTGACAGAGCATGAAGAGCTGTGATTCACTGGTCTTTATCTAGTTAATTAGGGTAATAGTAGTTATATAATTAATACATGTAATTAGCCCACATTTATATAAGTGCTAACTGTCTGTATGTTGACAGACGGCTAATACAGGACCCCTGGTGATGACCCCTGGTGGCAACCCCTGGTGGCGACCCCTGGTGGCGACCCCTGGTGATGACTCCTGGTGATGACCTCTGGAGGTGACCCCTGGTGGTGACCTCTGGTGATGATCCCTGGAGGTGGCCCCTGGTGATGACCCCTGGTGGTGACCCCTGGTGATGACCCTGGTGGTGACTCCTGGTGATGACGCCTGGTGATGACCTCTGGAGGTGACCCCTGGTGGTGACCTCTGGTGATGACCCCTGGAGGTGGCCCCTGGCAGTGATCACTGGTGGTGACCCCTGGTGATTGATGACCCTGGACCTCTGGTGATGATCCCTGGAGGTGGCCCCTGGTGATGACCCCTGGTGGTGACCCCTGGTGATGACCCTGGTGGTGACTCCTGGTGATGACGCCTGGTGATGACCTCTGGAGGTGACCCCTGGTGGTGACCTCTGGTGATGACCCCTGGAGGTGGCCCCTGGCAGTGATCACTGGTGGTGACCCCTGGAGGTGGCCCCTGGCAGTGATCACTGGTGGTGACCCCTGATGGTGACCTCTGACTGGCGTGTATCAGGTTTTAGGGGCACATTAATCACAGTTGTTTTGGTCACAAACGACTCTACACGAACTTGACCTTCGGGATCTTGTCATACCTAGTCTGGGCGTCCTTAAGATGCTGCAGGAACTCCAGGATGCCACATATAGAGTCCCTCCCGTCAAGGCAGTAGTGTCCTGGAGGTAAGAACGAGGTAATTTGCTCCCTGGCCACAAATTTTCCTCTCATATCTCTCTGAGCTGCTCGTCGGAACACTGAAGTAACTCGCTCGAACATATGTCGTTCAGTATCCCACTCGTCAGACTCGGTCAGTTCTCTGAGAAATAGTGCCTTGAGGGCTGGTTCAGGTAGGCTGGGGACCCTGAGCGACAGTGTGTGCCAAGGGTGAGGGTGACATCGGTTGGTGAACCTCGGAGACCACCAACAACCCTCCACTAACTGGTTCACGAAACGACAAGTCGCCCAAACTTTGGCCTGGTTGGTGGACAGGTTGCTGAAAACTTTGTGTTCATAAAGGTAAGAGCGACACATCCATTCTTTGTGTACATTAGTGACGTGGAAAACCAAGTTGTCGTCTTCATTCTCAAACTGGTTCATACCTGAATGTAAGTTAATCACCTTATCAGAAGGCCATGCAGCTGGAAGTACCGGAACAACACAAGTTTTGAGCAGTTTTATTTTATTGGCACTATTCCACAGCCAGTATAAACACGCCCCATTTTCAGTGGCAGTCACAAATGGTGGCGCTAGTGATACGTTCGGCAGTGTAGTGACATAATCTTTTACTAACGTCTTCACTAAATGAACAAAAGTATGTTTGAAAGTGTCACCCTGGAACAGCTCGTTTTCAGAGCGTGGCTCTATTACTACAGTTGTCCTGCCATCCATGGTCAGGCGAGTGCAGGTGACCGGTGTCGCCTCACACCCACTCACCTCGTACACGAAGTTCACCTCAGTAACACTAAATATTTCCCTGCCTTCCGCCACACTACCGACAGCAATAAGCTTTCCCTGGAATCTGGGATCATTGATCTGATTATATAAGTTGTCTAATTGTTCTTTCACTCTGCTTAAGAATTCCTTCATGTTAGATTTGTCACACAGTGTATTAGCTGCAGTAACTAGCAAGTCTTCTGAAAGGCTTATATTCATAATTTTACTTTTCTTCAACAATATATTGCTGGTTTGCGCTTCCTCTCCTCTTTCATTTTTAACACAGAGAGCCTCTTCGTGAGTCAGCAATGGTAACTTACAGTTCCTACATAAATTATCATATTTGGTCATGAGTTGTTCTGCAGTCAGCCCAACAATACACTTGTTGTGCACTGTGCTGCCGGAGAGTCTTAGAAAAGCTAACATATAGCGGAGACATTTAGTGTGACCAGCCAGGGCGGCCATGTGGGCTGGCGTGAAGTTCCCCACTGTCATCAACTGCGAGTTACCTCCGTGATGCATCACATACTCAACAATGTTCATCTGGCCGAACATGGCGGCCACGTGCAACATTGTGCATCCTGAGTACTCCTCCACTACTTGATTGATGTCCACAACTGGCCACCTGCCGAGGAGCGCGTGAAGGAGAGTGACCAACCCATGTTTGGCCACCAAGTACAGTAGTCGACTACTAGGTTTGCGTGTCACCTGTTGATCCCGCTGCTCATTTGTCTTATTATTTAAACCTTTTAGTTCTTGTAATGTTCGTAGAATTGATATTTTGGCCTCTTCGCTTTCATGGGAGCAAAAATCTTCAGCAACTTTACTTTCATTTATCCAATGATTTTCAAGCTGCTTAAACGGCAAGGCCTCGAGGTGTGTTGTGTCGCAAGTGAAAGGAGAAAGCCTGAGGTCCCTGTACAGGACGAGCTGTGTGTAGGTGTGGGCGTGAGTGATGGCTCGCTGGTAAGGGTTGTCCTCGCCAGGCAGCGAATGTAGATGGACGTCCTCCAGGCCCAGCAGCTGACAGGTGAGAGAGAGGCCTAACTCTGCTGCCTGTGTCAGTAGCGTGCGGGCTTCGGTTACCCGCTGCTCTGGGTCCGTCCCGCTGTAGATCCACTTAGCTCTGCTGCCCACGTCCATCACCTGCAAGCTGTAGTCACTCATGGCTTGTCGTAGTGTCATGAGTGACGCTGTCTCTTTGTCCACTCGTGTCATCTCATCCTCAAGCCGCTCACAGCAAGCCTGTAGCAACAAACACACACGATATACTGTATGTCAGATTCCAGGAAAATATTCAAGTACCTCAAGATAATAACGTCAGCGTGGTGCTACACACACACACACACACTGACCATCACCACGACCTCATCTGCACACTGACCATCACCACGACCTCATCTGCAAATTTGGTGAGAAGCTTCTGCACCATCCTCGACACCGGCTCCTACTACCACCTGAGATCCCTCGCCCAAGAGTTGCTGTTCAACACCACAACCGCATCCAACCCATATTAGCACGAACTGATCGCTATAAGAATAGCCCAGTCCCAACTATTGCAAAAATTATAAATAACTTGTAATCAACCAGTGTATTCCACTCCCAGTCAATCTTACTTTTTGCACTGTCACTCTGTTAAAATGCCCTGTAGTTTGAGCTTCTCTCCACCTAGTTATTATATATCATATTTGTATCACTTATGTTACTTGTATATTATTTGTAAATCAAGAGACCAATTCCCCAATTACGTAACTGTATATTTTCAGCCTTCCGGCTGCCATTCTCTTTCAATAAACAGTTAATTATTATTATTATTATTATTATTATTATTATTACAGTACCTTGCGCATGAGGGCAGGGAAGATGGCAGGTAATCCGAGAGTGTTGTGGGCAACCTCGAGAGCTGTTACGCCCTCAGTGGTGGTGTTACACAGAGGCGCGCCAGCACACAGTAACAGCAGCACAGCGTCTCTCTGGCTGTGTCGGATGGCTTGGATGAGTGGGTCAACCCGGGCTGTGGAGGGCAGGATAACTGCACCCCCGATTAGCAACTCCCTCATCAGCGCTGTGTCACCCTCAGTCGCCGCTCTTACCATCCTCTCTCTCTCACCCTCCTTCTCTCCAAGCTCTTTCTCTCCAAGCTCCTCACACTTCTGCGAAAACAAAAGTATTTTAGATAACAAGAGACGTGTGGTGTGTGAGTTGGTCTTGATGTCTCCACTTGTCGCATCACTAGTGTGGTACTTCTGAAGACTACTCACCTGAAAAAGATAATGACTTAATGAAAATTATAGTTAAAATGGTGACTGTGGTGACTCACCTGGCGCAGGTAGTGCTCCAGGAGGTAGTTGTGGGCCTGGTGAGCTAGGTGGTGCGACAGGCGTCCCTGGTGGTCGGGTATCCTGGGGTCACAGCCGTGGGAGGTGAGGATCTTGGCCAGGGTGAGCCACGCCTCCTCCACCCTCCACTCCTTGCCGTCCCATATCACGTCCACCTCCACGTGTCGCGGGTGTTGTGACAGCTCGTGTAGCGCCGTGCGTCCTGCGGCGTAATCAACACTTATAGCGTCCACACCCACACCTTGTAGCCGACATCACATAACACCCACCTGCCCTCACCCACACCTTGTAGCCGACATCACATAACACCCACCTGCCCTCACCCACACCTTGTAGCCGACATCACATAACACCCACCTCCCCCACCCACACCTTGTAGCCGACATCACATAACACCCACCTGCCCTCACCCACACCTTGTAGCCGACATCACATAACACCCACCTCCCCACCCACACCTTGTAGCTGACATCACATAACACCCACCTACCCTCACCCACACCTTGTAGCCGACATCACATAACACCCACCTGTTCACCCACACCTTGTAGGACATCACATAACACCCACCTGCCCTCACCCACACCTTGTAGCTGACATCACTAACACCCACCTGCCTCACCCACACCTTGTAGCCGACATCACATAACACCCACCTCCCCCACCCACACCTTGTAGCTGACATCACATAACACCCACCTGCCCTCACCCACACTTGTAGCTGACATCACATAACACCCACCTGCCCTCACCCACAGCTTGTAGCCGACATCACATAACACCCACCTGCCCTCACCCACACCTTGTAGCCGACATCACATAACACCCACCTCCCCACCCACACCTTGTAGCTGACATCACATAACACCCACCTGCCCTCACCCACACCTTGTAGCTGACATCACATAACACCCACCTGCCCTCACCCACACACACCTTGTAGCCGACATCACACACCCACCTGCCCTCACCCACACCTTGTAGCTGACATCACATAACACCCACCTGCCCTCACCCACACCTTGTAGCCGACATCACATAACACCCACCTGCCCTCACCCACACCTTGTAGCCGACATCACATAACACCCACCTCCCCCACCCACACACACAACCTTCCTACCCACCCAAACTTCAATTAACCCCCCACCCACATATCCAACTCCCGATAGATAGATGGATAGGTAAACAGCTGGCGATCTAATAAAACTTCTTGAACCCCTCCGATACACAGTGCGGGACTACTGTATGTATTCTTTGGTCACTCTTCGTTTGAAACACTGGGTACAAACTCCATTGATCCTCAACTACTCTCTTACAAGGACTTGAGTCGTCTGCTCCAGGTTCTTCAATCAAGAAAATGCACAGAAAGTGAGAAGTAAACACTGATGGCCTAAAATACTCGTCTGGAGACAAGCTGTGACAGAGGACAGTGTGGTCTTAGGTACTAGATGTACATTGTGGTGGGTCGGTCACCTTTGTTTCGTGTAAGTTCTTGCTTATTAATGAACCTGTCAGCATATGTTTCACACTAAAGAGCTCCTGCCTTCATCTATATATCTCAGTCACTTTTTATAGCTAAGAAAATTGAATCTGAACATGATAGTGAGCAAGTGCTTTAGAAAAAAACACTTTTGTGATAGTTTTTGACTCTGTACACCGCTCTCTCCCGCCCCCATTCTGCGTCCAGGTGTCACGCGAGGTGCAGATAAGGATTAGGTCGAGAGAGGGAGAAAGACATACCCCAGTGGTCAACAGCGTTTACGTAGGTGTCGTGGGTGTTGAAGAACCTCTTGATGTCTTGTGGTTGCCAGGGCGGAGTGCCGTCCAAGGCGGTGACAGAGGCCATGCAGTGGACGAGGGATCGACCTTTGTGGTCGGTGACGGTACCTGGCAGCTTATGCTTGTTCAGGAGGGCGGCCACACCTCCCTCGTGCTCGTACATGCCACACTCACCGGCCAGGAACACTCCTTTCACCTGCTTTTCAAACTCCTGCCAAACAAATATATAATATTTAGTCATCGTTTAGTCAATTGGGAGACATAAGTACAGTTTAGTGAGGTATATATATATATATATATATATATATATATATATATATATATATATATATATATATATATATATATATATATATATCGAAGAGAAGAAGCAGGGTAAACAACAAACATCTTGAAGTAGGGCTTCTTTTAATTGCTAACGTTTCGGAAATAATCCTTTTCCATCATCAGAGCCTAAAAAGTTTTGAAAATTAAAAGACATTTGATAACTCGCATCCATGAACACTTGGGCCGTTCCGTTCGAACAGGCCAGTTAATAACACAGCCACCACATTCAGCTATTCGTAACCACGCCCACCAACATGACCACCCGTTTTCGCCGTCTGATTTCTCAGTTCTTGGCAAGAGCGACTGTGATACAGACCTCCTCATTATGGAGGTATTACACCAGTATAAAGAAAAGCCATCTCTTTGTGATATGGCCTCTAGTGAATTGTTATATTTTTCGCACTAAGGCTCGTCTGAATTAAGGTAATACCCCACCCCTGTATATTTTATTTCATACTTTTTATTTCCTGATTTTAGCTTTGTATGTAGATCTCTCGTCAGTTTTGTCGGTTTTGAATTGGATTGCTCTTTTTTAAATTTTTGAAGTTTATCCAAGATAAATGTTCGTATAATATTATGTTTTTATTGTATATCACCTGTTTTTTAACTTTTTCAAAACTTTTTACGCTCTGATGATGGAAAAAGATTATTTCCGAAACGTTAGCAATTAAAAAGAAGCCCTACTTCAAGATGTTTGTGTTTACCCTGCTTCTCTTCGATATAAAACTACGATTTCCACGTAACAAGTCCATTGCTGAAGTTATATATATATATATATATATATATATATATATATATATATATATATATATATATATATATATATATATATATATATATATATATATATATATATATAAACTCCAATCTCGTTATGCAAAAGGGAAAATATACGTTTGGTCATGGAAGTGTACACACGTTAAACTTCGTTATACAAATGATCAAATGTGAACTTGTTTAGTTAATAAAATCGGATCATATGAAGATCCTCCCCCCCCAAACCTACTTGGGGGGGAGAATCTTCATATAATCTAGCCTGGGGGGGAGGATCTTCATATGATCAAGCCCAGTCGCGCTCATCTGAAGATCCACCCCCCCCTAACCTAACCTAACCAAACCTAACCAAACCTAACCTAACCAAACCTAACCAAACCTAACCTAACCTAACCTAACCTAACCTAACCTAACCTAACCTAACCTAACCAAACCTAACCCAACCCAAACCCAACCCAACCCAACCCAACCAACCTAACCAAACCAAATCCAACCTAAACCAAACCAAACCAACCAAACCAAACCAACCAAACCAAACCTAACCAAACCTAACCAAACCAAACCTAAGCTAACCTCCCAAACAAACCTACTTGGGGGGGAGGATCTTCATATGATCCAGCCTGGGGGGGAGGATCTTCAGTTGGATACTTTGGGGGGGGAAGATCTTCATATGATCCATAAAATCATTATAGTTAAGCACACCTCATAACCCTGTGTTGGAGTAGTACACGTGAACGCATCGAGAATAATGTTATACAAGTGAACACACACACAACTTAATTATAAGAAAAGAACGCAGATGATAGTTTTTTAGTAAACTGAACACACACAAACCTTTAAATACGCAAGTGACGACAATTGGTATTTTACAATATATTATTAAAACATAAATTTGTTGCATAGGAGTCACTGAGACGCTCTTGGAAGTTGGTCAAAGAAGCATTAAGTGAATTTTACCAGTGAAAGTATCGAATGACAGTATTGATAAAAGCATCTTGTGACCGCGTGGAGTTTACGCACTACGTGTATGTATCAACACCCATAAAAGGTTATAATGAAGGTATGAAAAAATTCTATATAAAAACTCACGTATGAGATGCACTTGATGAGCTCGTCACTGGGAAGACAGCGCTCCTCTCCCTTATGCTTAGTGAAGATGTGGTGGAGCTCCATGTTGCCCAGGATGTGGACGTCCATGTGTGGTGAGGTGTTGCGTCCCAATTCCACATCGTCTGGATGGAGGTTCTCCTCTTCCAGCAATTCCTCCACAACCTCCGTCTGCCCCTCCATCACCGACTCCCATAGTGCTCGCTCCTTTGTACACAAAATAGTTCACTCTTATAAGATAATTATGCTCAATTATCATTACCAATAATGAAAATACTAGTGATACTCTGAACGATACAGCTAATACTACTACTATTATTACTAATGCTACTTTGGCAACTACTACCACCCAAATAGTAAATATCATCGCAATAATAATATTATTGTTGAGCAACTGTTCAGTTATCGTCTAAAATAATGTACGAAAGCGAGGAGGAGAAATTATCGCATTAAACATCTTAATAAAGGAAATATTAGAGAGAAAATAAAGTGACATTCTGTTTCATCTGGGTCTCTTGGTGACCAATACTCGTGACCCTTAACTTCCCGGCCAATCACTACCCCACCCCATTGGGTCCCACCAAACCTTACCCCACCCCACCCCATTGGGTCCCACCAAACCTTACCCCACCCCACCCCCCACCCCACCCACCCACCCCCACCCCACCCCCCACCCCCCACAAACCCCACCACACCCCACCAAACCTTACCCCACCAAACCCCACCACACCCCACCCCACCAAACCCCACCGTCAACCACTCACGTTCATTCTTAGTCACGCTCAGGGGGCGGAGCATAATTGCCAAGTTAATTTGATTTTAGTATAGAATATACAATATTAAGATGGGTCTGCCTGGCAGCTGGGAAAAGCAAGATTGCCTCATTTCACTTCACTGTTACAACCAATACTCTGATTAAAGGTTTCAATCCTGTGCATCAAACTGTCATCCTGGGAACATAATGTGCAATATAGTAACAACTTATGCTTGTTAGCGTGACATGGTAAGTCTAATTTTGTCTGTTTCAGACTTCAGATATTTTTTAATTTTACTGAGAACATTAAGGCCTTCCCAGATCCCTTAACCACAGCCTGCAGAGAACTCTATTCTTAAAGATGAGAGGCCCAGTTTTATTATTCTCAAAATGAAATTTGGTGATCTCGTAAAATTACGTATATTTTCCATCTGTGTTTATTCAACAAAATCCTGATAAAAATGAGAAAACAAAATTTGCTTATTAGTACAACAATCTGATCATGTTGTAAATGGAGCCTAAAAGATCCGGTTTCTTACCGAATTTTTCCCAATTCTCGCATATTGAACACAGCGTGGGAGCCTGCCAACTGCTCAGCGAGGAACTGTGTCAAAAATGACTTTTTTTGCTCTGCAGATGGAAATGTTAAAAAAAATCACTCGGCACGTAATGGAAATTTTGCTGGGTAAGGCTGGGCCGCGTCCTAACCTTGATACAACTGTCTCAGTTTTAACTCTTGTACTCTCAATGTAACACCCTGGCCATCTTAAACATATCTGCCTACAGTGAAAGTATTTGGAGGAGCATTTGTTATGGGTTGCAAGTCAACTTGACCTCTTGTCTTACTGGGCCCCAACCTAACCTTACTTATTCACTAGAATAGGGGCCTACTAAGATTTGGGACCCTTACAATTGGACGCTTTAAGACTGGACCCATTAAATTAAGGCTAAGGTTCCATTAGATTAAAGTGAGGCCCTTGGGGATGGGAAATACTGAGGCGGGGTTCACATACAGTACAGTTATCATGTTCTGACACACATCATTACCCGGAGGATCACACATTACCTAACACCATTACATATACACATTACCGAGTTCTTAAGCTTAAACATTATCTTTAAAACTCGGTTAAATAAACACACAAAACCCCACAGTAACGTGAGTGAAATATTTCTGTATTTCAACCACGTTTTATATATATTTTGTGTGATGTTAATAAATTAACTGTACTTGTCAATAATTTAAGAGCTTGAGGACTTTAGTTAATAAAGCACAAAAATACGTAAACTAACACTCTTTCACTAAAGTCCTTATACAAGTCTCCCCCAAGTGTAATGTCTCACAAGTGTTCCATCTAATTATCTGGCGCCTGTCCACCTTACACACACGCTGTTGGCACCTCATGATGGCATAATCCAACCTTTATCTTATCACACTTACATCATTTCGTCGACGTTATCAGTTTGTTAAGGATCCACGTGTCATACACCCATGTAGGCCCGTCTGTCAGTTGTCACTTCAGAATATTAACTTTAATTGTGTACAAATGTACATAGATTTATTTCTGTCGGATGATATTAACACATTATATTGAAGCATCCAAAAAAGTTATTATATTGCGGTGGCGTGCGACAAACACCAGTCAGTAAAGGAAGGTGTAGTGGTGTAGTCAGACGAGTAGTAGTGGATGGACGAGTTTACAGACGTCCTTGGTGCAGACGATGAGAAGTCTGGGAACCTCGAGACCAACCGAGGTGTGGCCGGCCAAGTGAGACTAGCCTCGGCTGGTGACGGACAACTCCCCGAGGTAGTTAGACGTTCCCCAATTACAAATGAGAATGAGCCTTGTTCACTGGTGCCGGGTTATCATCACGGACCCCCAAAAAAAAACATTTTCGTCTACCACTCATGGTTGACTCCACTGTCAGTGACCAAGTAACACACGATATGAACACCAAAACATTAACGAGGTGACATGCAGCTGGCAGGTGACGTGTTAGGCGTGGGTGAACCGACTGAAATCAGAGGACGATTTACCGCCGACCAGTATCCTGAGATATTGGGGGAATTGATAGGTATGTAGACTCGGAACCAGGGAGTAAGTAGGCTCAGATTTCGCCTCCATCCTAACAACAGTTCAGTCGAGGTGTTGAACGTTGTGTTGAAACAAATTAGTAAACTATAGACGTACCATGATGACAGAGTGAGTGTGGCGGGGCGGGGGGTCCTCAGCCTGCAGGAAGGGCTCACACTCCTGCTGTACCTTCTCCAGGAAACTCAGTCGTGGCTTCTTCTGTCATTATTTAACCCATGTATAATATATTATATATCACATACACATATTATACTTAAAGTAATTTAGGTTAGGTTATGTATAAGTTATTTATATATGCAGTACATTATGGATTATGATTATCTGCATGATCGTCTATGGCTAGGCAGAAATTTCCCCCCAAATTAAAGAAATACATAGAAGTTATCGCTGTAAGGCAATTATCCCGTATTAATGTAACTCACTCGCTCACCGTGTGACTGTGAAGATGACGGTGATGGTGATGATAGTGAGAATAATGGTGCAGAAGATGGTAAGGATGTCAGGTGAAAGTGACAGCTTGCCATAATTTAGGTATTTTTTATACTGGAGATGTTCACGGTAAGAGTAACGATGAGGATAATAAGAGTTATTCATAAGAGGGAGATAAAGACAGTGGGCATAACTCATTACCTGTTTGCGGGTGTGTGGTATACTGGAGATGACCATGATGAAGAGGATACCAGCGAATGCTAGAGTGATGATGACTATGGCCGCCACTTGCCCTGCCTTCACGCCCTCATATTCATCATTATCACCTGTTAGTCAGAGGAGGAGAGAAGGAGTATTACCATTACGCTTGTTATGTTTAAGTTACCTATTATTGTGAGTGACACTGTTGTGTGTGACACACTGGTGAACTGGACTGACCTGGTAGTGAGTATAACATACTAGTGACTTGAACTGACCTGGTGGTGAGTGGGCCTGGCAGCTGTGGTTGGGTTCACTGTGGTATAATATGTAGTAATTATCTGTGGGTTCTCCGGATGCCTTGAGGAAAGTAGGCAGCGTCCTCAGGGTCACACTCGTTATATCTTCTTGTTCCACCTGTCAGAGAGAAGATGAATGTTAATTAGCTGTGTTTTTATCGCACGCCACCACAGTGGCGATGCATATATATATATATATATATATATATATATATATATATATATATATATATATATATATATATATATATATATATATAATCAACACCTCAACCCTTAGGATTCGAACCCCACGGCCCATAAGCCTATGACTGTGACAGGTTGGGAGTGTTGATTGTATAGAAATCACGTGCTTTTATTGGGCTAATGAAATATATATATATATATATATATATATATATATATATATATATATATATATATATGTATATATATGTATATATATATATATATATATATATATATATATATATATATATAGCCCCGTAAACGTTACTCTGACCACCTCGTGATACGGGTAGTCCCCATTGCAGAGGTTCACGACGCCATAAGCTCGTTGAACAGGCTTTATGTAAATTATATATATATATATATATATATATATATATATATATATATATATATATATATATATATATATATATGAGTATACCTTGTTATGGTAGGTGTGTTGTGATGGATACATGGTGCAAAAGTCTTACCAGAAGAGTACAGACCACACTTCCAGCTAAGTGATGGAAGCACAGTGTGACACTACGGCGGGCGACTGTGTGAACTGGGCTCTGGTACTGGGTGGGTGTAGATGCTGGGCTCTGGTACTGGGTGGGTGTAGATGCTGGGCTCTGGTACTGGGTGGGTGCGAGTACTGGGCTCTTGTACTGGTGCTGGTAAGGCGTCATGTGCATGAGCGAGGAGCCATCCCAAACCATTTGTAGTGTTGTGTCCCCCAGGGAGACCGAGGGCCGGGAGGCGGTGGTGAGGAGCAAGGCGAGGCGGTGGTAGTCGTGGGTGGGTAGTGGCACCACTGTCTCCTCACCGCCACACACCTCCCAACCCAACACACCTGCACCCCACAACACATAAATCTTAGTTAACACACGCCAGTGAATACAAATTATAGATAAGCACAACCAATTATTTCCAGACTTTGTTTGAATTTATCCTTTAGCTGAAGAGATTGCTCGACATAGTTTGAAATTTTAGTATTACTAATAGTAACAATAATGATTATTCGGCAACAGATTCACTGTACAGTTAGAGTCAAAGGTTCGTGTAAATGCAGTGAGAGTGTATCACTGGAATGAGTCTCCGAACTAACATACCCTGACTGGGTCTTGTGCGGGTGTGCTGATTTGTCCCATTTGGGGTCGATGCTGCTTCACATAACCTTTTGATCCTGACTGTACAAAGAAGACAGTTGAGAACTGTTTAGCTATATCATTTATATCTAATTATATAACATGCACATACGTCTACTCTAGTTACTCAAATGGATGTTGTTTCGAAACGCTGTGGTTTTGACTTCCTTCCTCCAATATGTCCTGGAAATCACACATCCTTAGTATAACTTAAGCTGCCTCCCGAAAGTTGGGAATGCTGTACAGATGCCGCAGCTACTTCACTCCTGAGCAGTTGCTCCAAGTATATAAGGGATTCATTCGTCGTAACTTGGAGTACTGCTCTCATATCTGGGGTGGCTCTTCTTCTGTCCAACTATTAGATAGGGTGGAATCAAAGGCATTTCGTCTTATTAACTCTCCTCCTTTAGTCGACAATCTCTCTCCCCTTTCTCTTCGCCGCAATGTTGCTTCACTCTCTCTTTTACAGGTACTTTAACGGGCAATGTTCAGTGGATTTGGCATCCTTTGTACCGGTGGCAAGGCCGTGGGTTCGTAACACACGTCTTGCTCGCGGTGCCCACCATTTCTCTGTGGATGTCGGTCACACGAGAATAACCCGTTAGAGTACCTCCTTCTTTTCTCACACAGCCAAACTGTGGAATGCTCTGCCTTCTTCTGTGTTTCCATGCTCTTACAATCTGTCTCACTTTAAAAAGCTGGTTTTCCGGCATCTTCGTGGTGTAGATTAATACAGTATAACCTTTTTTCTATATTTTCAATTTCTTTCCGTTCTTTTTTCGCCCCCAGGCTCCGTTGGGTCGTTTGGTGCCTGCCATGCACCCTGCTAAAAAAAAATAATCCACTGATAAGACAATCGTCGCCATATACCCCTCAACACGCCACCTATACAAGCTCTAACATTAGCAGACGTCTCCTCTGGTGCTAGTCACCCCACCATGGACTCTAACAACAGGCAGCCGCGAGGGCAGACGTCCTCCCTGTGACTTTTTATATCAAATCTCCTGAGTACTTTTTGTTTATAGAAAAAAATATTTTAATTCCCTCTAAAACATTTCTGAGATACAAGGAATAGGAAAGTACAGACAAGGGAGAAAGAGAACGGTGTCTACCCAATCTACTAGGTCCCTTGCGACAACCAGACAGTTATACAACCCCTACAGACAACTACAGCACATATCTTGGTACACTACACCCAACATAAGGACACCAGGCCATCTCATCACCAAGTACACAAAGACACAGTAAAGGAAAATTTGTTTATGTCAACAGGACCACAGAATAGAGTTACTCTCAGTTTTTGAGAACCCACGCCCCTGCTCCTTGAGGTAAGAATGCGGGGATAACAGTAGAGTTAGTAGTTCTGTGAAGACTCGATTCATTGTCTGGGGACATCAGTTTTCTTTAAGGAATAAGACATAGGATCTTGGGTATAGTATGCTGTAGCTGTGTCGAGACCCCCCCGCCCCCACTCTCCCTCCCTACCTAGACAACCTGCCCACAATTAGTGTTCCTTTCCCAAGATTCTTCACCTGCTGATTGAAGATCCATCATGTGTACAACTACAAGGCTCACGTCTATATACTCTCAGGTGTGCTCACCGTAGAGCTTTGTTTATAACGTGCACCCTCTACCAGTACTCCTGATACTAGAGCCAAAGATGCTGACATGCTGAGAGACTAGACTGAAGTGTGAGAGAAACAGTAAAAGATGTGAAGACAGAAGATATAATAGCTGTGTAAAATATTTGACGAGTCTGAGTGTAATGATGCAATTAAAGTTATAAACCCCTTGTGTACGGGGTCGCCTCTGAGCTGAATAAAATCGTCTGGCTTTAAAGTGAAGATAAGGAACTTTAAGTCCTTTGTTTGCCAACAGCTTCAACCTGTGAATATCTTCCTTGTTTATTATTAGCATATAAGAAAATATATTTCCCTCAAACTAAATGACATCAGTGGGGACTTACCTCCATGACAGTTGACTGTGATGTTGGAGGCAGTGATGGTCAGTTTCTGGAGGTGTGTGTCAGTGTGCAAAGTGAGTGTGGAGTTGGTGGTGGAGGGTCGTTGAATCTCCACCTGTGAGTCCGACCTCCACAACCTTATCTCAATCCACCCGTTTCCCATCGGCTCCGACAGACTCATCGACTGTGATTGTTTAGTGTGGTTCCTCACACGCACCACGTCCACTCGCTCCCGGCTGAGGTGGAAGGTATCGTAGTGATTCTCAGACGATGACCCCACTGCTCTTATAGTTAAGGTGAGCAGGGAGTCATTGGTGTTCGCCTCCTCTGCCACCCACACAGTTATGTTTACATGGGATCCCTCCCAGCGTCCCTCCCACCTGTGTAGCGGCAAACAATCTGTGGTAGAACCAGGAATAACATGTGAGGTTGTATGGTAGAACCAGGTGTATCATGCCAGGTAGTAGGCAGCTATCAAACAGGGAGGTACTACCGCCTGGGAAGATATTGGAAGCATAATGTGTTGTCTAATGGTAGACCCTACTGCCATATGGCATAAAAAAAATTGACCAAGTCCCAGGTTACTAGTCTGACTTTCTGCCTCATTTACACACAATTGCGGGGTCTCAGTTGTTTCTCTTACTTTAGCAACACAACATACATATATTGTTTCTCACTATTGATCTTGATATTATTATTATTATTATTATTATTATTATTATTATTATTATTATTATTATTATTATTATTATTATTATTATTATTTATATGATTATTAATATAGTATTATAAAAAAAATTATTTAATTTTTAATAAAATAAATAATACTTATTATTAATTATTGTTATTATTATATTTTTGCCCCCCAGGCCCTGATGTGGGTCATTGACCTGTGCTCTGGAGGGCCAATGAAAAAAAATGAAGTTTTATGGAAGCACCAGACGTAACATGTGAGGCTTTATGGTAGAACCAGGTCTATCAACACACACACACACACACACACACACACTCTGGGACATTAATAATCTTTTTTCATGACAATGTGTTTGTTTATGAGTATCTGTGTCTGTCTGTGCCAGCCATAGCTCCAAAACGGAAAGCGGTTAAAGACCTGAAACTTTACTCATACATTAAAAGCGTCCCCAAATTGTGCACCTTGGTACAGTATTACGTCCCTGGGTGGTCAGGAAACCAAAAATATTCGCCGACGGAAATAATCACCACGACGATTGTGGGAAGTAGTTACCCGTGTCAGGGAGGGCAAACTGTGACTGCCAAGGTTAGGTTAAGTTAAGTTGGGTGTGTTAATGTTCCCTTTGAGTGTATGGGTTGATGTCTCCTAGTGAGTGTGTGGGTGTGTTGATGTCTCTAAGTGAATGTACGGGTGTGTTGATGTCTCCTAGTGAGTGTGTGGGTGTGTGTTGATGTCTCCTAGTGAATGTGTGGGTGTGTTGATGTCCCCTAGTGAGTGTGTGGGTGTGTTGATGTCCCCGAATGAGAGTGTGGGTGTGTTGATGTCCCCTAGTGAGTGTGTGGGTGTGTTGATGTCCCCAGTGAGTGTGGGTGTGTTGATGTCTCTAGTGAGTGTCTGGGTGTGTTGATGTCCCTGGAGTGTGGGTGTTGATGTCCCTAGTGAGTGTGTGGGTGTGTTGATGTCCCCGAATGAGAGTGTGGGTGTGTTGATGTCTCTAGTGAGTGTGTGGGTGTGTTGATGTCCCCTAGTGAGTGTGGGTGTGTTGATGTCTCCTAGTGAGTGTGTGGGTGTGTTGATGTCTCTAGTGAGTGTGTGGGTGTGTTGATGTCCCCTAGTGAGTGTGTGGGTGTTGATGTCTCCTAGTGAGTGTGTGGGTGTGTTGATGTCTCCTAGTGAGTGTGTGGGTGTGTTGATGTCCCTAATGAGTGTGTGGGTGTGTTGATGTCTCTAGTGAGTGTGTGGTTGTGTTGATGTCCCCAGTAGAGTGTGGTGTTGATGTCTCTTAGTGAATGTGTGGGTGTGTTGATGTCTCCTAGTGAGTGTGTGGGTGTGTTGATGTCTCCTAGTGAGTGTGTGGTTGTGTTGATGTCTCCTGGTGAGTGTGGGTGATGTCTCCTAGTGAGTGTGTGGGTGTGTGTTGATGTCTCTAGTGAGTGTGTGGGTGTGTTGATGTCTCCTAGTGAGTGTGTGGGTGTGTTGATGTCCCTAGTGAGTGTGGGTGTGTTGATGTCTCCTAGTGAGTGTGTGGGTGTTGATGTCTCCTAGTGAGTGTGTGGGTGTGTTGATGTCTCCTAGTGAATGTGTGGGTGTGTTGATGTCTCCTGGTGAGTGTGTGGGTGTGTTGATGTCTCCTAGTGGGTGTGTGGGTGTGTTGATGTCCCTAGTGAGTGTGTGGGGTGTTGATGTCCCTAGTGAGTGTGTGGTTGTGTTGATGTCTCCTAGTGAGGTGTGGTTGTGTTGATGTCTCTAGTGAGTGTGTGGGTGTGTTGATGTCTCCTTAGTGAGGTGTGTGGTTGTGTTGATGTCCCCGAATGAGAGTGTGGGTGTTGATGTCTCCTAGTAGTGTGTGGGTGTGTTGATGTCTCCTAGTGAGTGTGGTTGTGTTGATGTCTCTTAGTGGTGTGTGGTGTTGATGTCCCTAGTGAGTGTGTGTGGTTGTGTTGATGTCTCCTAGTGAGTGTGTGGTTGTGTTGATGTCTCTTAGTGAGTGTGTGGTTGTGTTGATGTCCCCAGTGAGTGTGTGGGTGTTGATGTCTCCTAGTGAGTGTGTGGGTGTGTTGATGTCTCCTAGTGAGTGTGTGGTTGTGTTGATGTCCCCTAGTGAGGTGTGGGTGTGTGTCCCCTAGTGAGTGTGTGGTTGTGTTGATGTCTCCTAGTGAGTGTGTGTGGGTGTGTTGATGTCTCCTGGTGAGTGTGTGGTTGTGTTGATGTCTCTTAGTAGGTGTGTCGTTGTGTTGATGTCCCCTAGTGAGTGTGTGGGTGTTGATGTCCCCTAGTGAGTGTGTGGGTGTGTTGATGTCTCCTAGTGAATGTGTGGGTGTGTTGATGTCTCCTAGTGAGTGTGTGGTTGTGTTGATGTCTTAGTGAGTGTGTGTTGATGTCCCCGAATGAGAGTGTGGTGTTGATGTCTCCTAGTGAGTGTGTGGGTGTGTTGGATGTCTCCTAGTGAGTGTGTGGTTGTGTTGATGTCTCCTAGTGAATGTGTGGGTGTGTTGATGTCTCCTAGTGAATGTGTGGGTGTTGATGTCTCTAGTAGGTGTGGTTGTGTTGATGTCTCCTAGTGGTATGTGGTTGTGTTGATGTCTCCTAGTGAGTGTGTGGTTGTGTTGATGTCTCTAGTGAGATGTGTGGGTGTGTTGATGTCTCTAGTGAATGTGTGGGTGTGTTGATGTCTCCTAGTGAGTGTGTGGTTGTGTTGATGTCTCTTAGTGAGTGTGTGGTTGTGTTGATGTCTCCTAGTGAGTGTGTGGTTGTGTTGATGTCTCTTAGTGAGTGTGTGGTTGTGTTGATGTCTCTAGTGAATGTGTGGGTGTGTTGATGTCTCTAGTGAATGTGTGGGTGTGTTGATGTCTCCTGAGTGAGGTGTTGTGGGTGTGTTGATGTCTCCTAGTGAGTGTGTGGTTGTGTTGATGTCTCTAGTGAGTGTGTGGTTGTGTTGATGTCTCCCAGTGAGTGTGTGGTTGTGTTGATGTCTCCTAGTGAGTGTGTGTGGTTGTGTTGATGTCTCCTAGTGAGTGTGTGGTTGTGTTGATGTCTCTTAGTGAGTGTGTGGTTGTGTTGATGTCCCCGAATGAGAGTGTGGGTGTTGATGTCTCCTAGTGAGTGTGTGGTTGTGTTGATGTCTCCTAGTGAGGTGTGTGGTTGTGTTGTCTTCTCTTCGTGAGTGTGGGTGTTGGTGCCCTGGTGACTCTGAAGGTGTGTGGAGTCTGTTTACCTCCTGTGAATGTTTGGGTGTTCCATGTCCTTGTGGGTATTCTTATGTCCCACAGTGAATGTGTGTGTGTGTGTGTGTGTGTGTGTGTGTGTGTGTGTGTGTGTGTGTGTGTGTGTGTGTGTGTGTGTGTGTGTGTGTGTGTGTGTGTGTGTGTGTGTGTGTGTGTGTGTGTGTGTGTGTGTGTGTGTGTGTGTGTGTGTGTGTGTGTGTGTGTGTGTGTGTGTGTGTGTGTGTGTGTGTGTGTGTGTGTGTGTGTGTGTGTGTGTGTGTGTGTGTGTGTGTGTGTGTGTGTGTGTGTGTGTGTGTGTGTGTGTGTGTGTGTGTGTGTGTGTGTGTGTGTGTGTGTGTGTGTGTGTGTGTGTGTGTGTGTGTGTGTGTGTGTGTGTGTGTGTGTGTGTGTGTGTGTGTGTGTGTGTGTGTGTGTGTGTGTGTGTGTGTGTGTTGTGTGTGTGTGTGTGTGTGTGTGTGTGTGTGTGTGTGTGTGTGTGTGTCTGTGTGTGTGTGTGTGTGTGTGTGTGTGTGTGTGTGTGTGTGTGTGTGTGTGTGTGTGTGTGTGTGTGTGTGTGTGTGTGTGTGTGTGTGTGTGTGTGTGTGTGTGTGTGTGTGTGTGTGTGTGTGTGTGTGTGTGTGTGTGTGTGTGTGTGTGTGTGTGTGTGTGTGTGTGTGTGTGTGTGTGTGTGTGTGTGTGTGTGTGTGTGTGTGTGTGTGTGTGTGTGTGTGTGTGTGTGTGTTGTGTGTGTGTGTGTGTGTGTGTGTGTGTGTGTGTGTGTGTGTGTGTGTGTGTGTGTGTGTGTGTGTGTGTGTGTGTGTGTGTGTGTGTGTGTGTGTGTGTGTGTGTGTGTGTGTGTGTGTGTGTGTGTGTGTGTGTGTGTCTGTGTGTGTGTGTGTGTGTGTGTGTGTGTGTGTGTGTGTGTGTGTGTGTGTGTGTGTGTGTATAATGTCCTCTTTTTAGGGTGTGGGATTGTCCCTTTGTGTGCGTGTAGCTGCTCCAGGGAGTGAGTGTGTTGTTGTCCCCTGCATGTTGTGTGTGGGTGTTGCTGTTCCTTTGTGTGGGAGTAAGAATACCCCTATATGGGGTGTGGGTGTACTGGTGCCCTCTAATTTAGTGTATCACACGGTTGAAAGTGATTTGTACTTGTGTTTACTTGCCTTGATTGAGGTGAAGGTCGGCTACCACGCCAAGCATCAGCGCCATTACCACCACACTTTTCATCTCCACCTAACTATACGTCCTGGTAGGTATTGGTAGGTCCTAGTGGCTCCTGGTTGGTCTCGGTAGGTCCTGTATGGTTCTAATGTGTTTTGATATGTTCTGGTGGCTCCTGGTAGATCTCGGTGGTACCCTTTAGGGCCAAGCATGTCCTGGTGGCTCCTAGGGGTGATTCCTGGTTTTCAATTGTTTCCAAAAGGTAACAATCAATCTTTGCTAAATCTTGGTAGGTTCAAACGATTCCTGGCAAGTCCTTTGTATCTGCTTTGTAGCACTGGTATGTGTTCAGGTTCTTGGTTCTGTGGTTGAAATTTATTGGGTGTTTCTGGTAGTGTCTGACTGTCGGACATCCTCTTAATAATTCTAGTAGCTGCTGATCGAGTCTATCAGTGCTGGTAATTTTTGGTCTCTCCAAGAATCCTTTTTCAGTCTCACATAGTTTCTGGTCTCATCATTTTGTTCCTGGTTAGTATTGGTCGTGACTGGGCTCTGATAAGTAATGTTTGTGTCTTTTAGTTTTTCGTTGCCTCTCTTTACTTTTCTTCGTGTCTAAAGGCTTTTGGTCAGTATTAGTTGTGTCTAGTAACATTTGGTATTGGCGTAGAGTCTTGTTAACTCTGATGGTCTCCCATAGTCCTTGTAGTTCCCCGTCTCATTTTTATCTTCAAGCAAAGTATTTTCTGGTAGCTTTGTGTTGTATCTGAAACACTGAGAACTTCTGATCACAAATGGTAATAACTTGTAGCTACCACTATCACACATGAGACACACACTACTACTATCACACACCTGGGCATGAATCACCTCTATAACACACTGGGAAAGGAGTTATACAATGTACTGAGACAGCAACTCCCACTATCTCGGTGAGGATTAAGATAGCGCCAGGAAAGGTGTCGATCCAATCTGATAACAATGTCACAAGCTTTACATCAATTTAAACCTTACAATTTGACAAAAACACTTGAAAGGACTTTCATTTATATGTCAAGTGTGAGCAGGATATTATTTAAGGATTATTAAATGCATTACCAAACACATAATTTCATCAAGCGCTTTTTGTACAAAGATATTAAGTAGTCTCTTACACATAAATTGAGCACAGTAGTCTGTATTAAGATTTAAGAACTTAGCAGCGTTTCAGGTAATGCTATGATTTGCTTGAACTTCGTTAGTAATTCTAAAAGACCACTTTTACCATGAGGCTGATTCATGTGTGGAGTTATTTACTCGACTTTATCTTGGATATGTGATTTCTCAGTCTGTCTCACTTATATAGAGTACAGTACTTTACTACAGCTAAGTTTAAATCAGTTCAAATTTTTATGGTTAGTTTGATCAAGGACACCTGACAAAGCCAATGAGATGCTTATTTCCAGTAGAATCCTTTTGCCAGAAGCATTCTTAGGACCAGGCAATCACCCATGTAAGTACTAAGCAGACCCAACGTCACTTAACTACGCTGATCAGACAAGAAGCAGTGTTCCCAATGTCGTGCTGTACAGTTGTACCCCGCTTAACGCAGTTTCACTTAACGTGATTTCTCATATACGCGGTGCCTCGCCAGAACCGAACTTTCACTTAACGCGGTTCATCTACTCATATCTGTGAAGCGGCCGGGACAGGATCTTTAAAAGTAGCCCAGTCATCAAAACATTACTGAGTTCCTCACCCTCACCCCACCACAGCCCACAAGTCAGTGATAGTGATAATTATAGTGAGGATATGGACTTATATGGATTTTGAGGGTTTGACAAAGAGGCCCTGCAAACTCTGTGGTGGATAAATGTCCAATTGATTCAAGTGATACAGGTGAGGGCCAATAATCTGCCCTCTGCCTCGGAACAATCCCCCATCGTGTGCCCAGCCATCTTTTCTACTAATGTAAGTGTTAAAAACCTAATATTATTGATATTTCTCTTAATTATTAATTGTGTGTGCATACCATCATAAGTTAAGATAATATTTTTACAACATAGTTGTGTGTCGTCAAAAGTGGAGTTTGGGGGTCGGGCCCAGTCTCTATTGGAATTAATCCCTTATGTTCTGTTGTTCTTAGCGGTACCCTGTGGGTTCAATTGACGCGTTAAGCGAAATTTTAACTACCTATTGGCAATTCTACGGGTTCTGTGGTGATCATTTCACCACAAACAAGTTAATTACCCAAACAAGTTAATTACCCAAACAAGTTAATTACCCAAACAAGTTAATTACCCAAACAAGTTAATTACCCAAACAACATCACTTTCTTATGGTTATAGGCTGTACTCTGGTTCTATTGAGAATAAGGGCATTTGTGAGACTAACTGTCCTGACTGTGACAAAACTATCAAGAATAATGTAGGGATCCTACACAGGCCACTGGTCTCCTACCCTCAGCATGGCTGTCTCTAGTGGGTCATTGCAGGTGGTCTTTAGGAAAATAAATTAAAGGTAAATGATACTACAAACAAACCGTGATTTATGTTACTGAAAAAGTTCTTGTATAGTATAGGCCCTTCAAATTTGCCGGGGTTAGGTTCTCAAAATGGCCGCAAATAACATTTGCTGATCGGAGGGCGGGGGGTTAGAGTTTTACTTGTGTACAAAGAAATGTATATGTTTATGTGTTTGCCCTTTGGACAATTATTTCTTTTACTTGTACAGTATTGTATATGTGTGTGTGTCAATCAATCAGTTAATTGTTGCCCCTCATGTAACGAGGATGGCTGGCCCAAGGGCCACCTAGGCATGGGTTTTTTTAAGGTTTAAAAGCTGTCGCCAACACAACAACCACACCCTAAGTTGACGAGTTGCATAACCCAGTGACAAGGAATAGTCCGAGAAGACCGAACAACTCACCAACTGCACTGGCTAACCATTACCCCGGGATACGATTAACATCCAAGTTCCCAATTACTGCTGGGTAGACAGAGGCAAATGGCTTAAAGAAACTTGCCCATAGTTTCACCCTGCCCGGGGATCGAACCTGCATCCGCTCATTTGCGAGGCAGGCATGCTGACCATTACACCTCAAGTGTACACACACACACACACACACACACACACATGTGATAAGAACAGCCCAATCCCAACCATGATAAAAATTGTCAACAATTTGTAATCACCCAGAGTATGTATTCACTCCCAGCCAATCTTACCTTTTTCCACTGTCACTATGTTGAAATGCCCTGTAGTATAACCTTCTCCCCACTTAGTTATTCTATATCATATTTGTATCACTTATGTTATTTGTCAATCAAGTGACCCATTCCCCAATTATGTAACAATACTTTCAGCCTTCGGGCTGCCATGCTCTTTAAATAAACCGTTAATTATTAATATTAATATTATTAGTGTATTATTAAAATGCATACAAATACCATAATAAGAAACAGGACAACAAAATGTAATGTAGAAAAAATGCGAGTCAACCCTCAAGTCAACTCCAGCGCCAGCTGGGTTGATACACTACATCCCTGACCACCGTAGGGTCAAGACCTATTCAGGCGCTGCCCCCCTTGGCCAATGTTCAACCCATTCCCCAAGTCCCTCTCCTCGACCCATCCTCACCACCGGGATATCAACATAATCAAAAGTGACAATTTCGTTTCGGAAACAAGTAAAATCAGTGTTTAAGCCAGTGAATTCAGCACCTGACAGTACCAGTGAGATAAGCACCCCTGGGAACTGACTGCCATCTTCTGACAAAGAGGTGCTTATCAGTCCACCTTGGGAACAGCAGGAGGTCGGCTTCACACCTGAATTCAAAATAACACACCACCACCCAGTAGGGTGGGGTACTGTGACACCACCCCACACCACCCGGTGTCCCCATGACCACGTGAGGTCCTTCATATCAACACCCGAGGACGAGTTACTGCACCACATGAACACCACACCACCTGGTGTCTCCATGACCAGTCCAGGCCGGGGCCATCAACTGTAAACTATAATAATTTGTATGTTCAAAGATTGTTCCTTCTTCTTTCAGTAATGAAAGCTTTTGTTAGACGACCAACCCACCCCATGTCTTTGTATGTAATAAGTCATTTTTGTCCAATGTATATTTTCAGCCTTTGGGCTGCCGACTTTTTCAATAAACTGTCAATTATTATTATTATTATTATTATTATTATTATTATTATTGTTATTATCATCATTATTATTATTATTATTATTATTATTATTATTATTATTATTATTATCGTAGATTAAACTTACAGAATTTCTTTCGTAGCCATCTCGCCAACCCAACATGAAGGATGTCGGTAATTGTGGTGTAATACTGCATACTTTTCACAATATGTATGTAGGATGGTGTGTGCATGTAAATGAGTAAAAATAAATGAAGAAGGTTACGTATATCTACCCAAAAATGCGAGTTAAAAAAACCATAACACCTCAAAGCTTGGCCCAGTAGCCTGGTGGTTACAATGATGAGCTAACCTAGCTACAATGACATGATTAATCACTGTTAAGCACTATTCCATCAGTAAACACTATTAATAACAGTAATCCAGTGAAAATGGTACATGTTCAGTGGTAAACAAATTATATAAACCATTAATTTTCCTACGATAATAAAATAAAAAACAACTGTTATAAAGAAATAGATTATCACTCACCATTCCATGCTGGCTGTTTGTGTAGATCCCATTTTCCTCTTCCCTGCCACTGACAAAAATCATGTTGAAAATGATGAATGATGATAATGATGATGAAGGTGGTTGAGGGCATTTGGGAGCCATAACAAGCACGAGGAGCACAGTTGTTACAAGAGGAGAGTAGCACACGCGGAGACGTACAAATGTTTAGCTCGGACTGAGGCGGAGGAAGTGGGCGCTCACGGGCCAGCCTCCCAGGACAAGAGAGACACCTTGCGGTACGCTACAATACTTGCGCGCTCCCCATATTGGCCACGAAACTACCAGCAATTTTAAAACCACCCGCAGACATTCTTGGGTACATCCAGGGTGTCATCCGCAAATAATAGAGGATCGCGAAATAAAAATCCGAGAATTTTCTGGGGGTACTGTACTGCAGATAGATATGTCATTAATCAATTCACATTTTCTCACAGACTCCCATTATATAAATATTGTAGAGATGAAAAAAAAAATAGCCCTACACTCGACCCCTGATGAGTTATTAAGTCATCCTGAATTCCTGCTGCTTTGTTGATTTTGTTTTTTTACGGGGATTAGCCCACCTGGGCACAGGTCGTCACTGACCCACATCGAGGCCTAGGGGGCAAAAATGTAATAATAATAATAATAATAATGAAACATAAAGAAATACAAAATGAAAAAAAAATCAAGAATGAGAAACAATATATGTATGTTGTGTTGTCAAAGTAAGAGAAACAATTGAGACCCTGCAATTGTGTGTAAATGAGGCACAAAGTCAGATCAGCAGCCTGGGACTTGGTCACAATTTTTGTGATGCCATATGGCAGCAGGGTCTACCATTAGACAATACATTATGCTTCCAATATCTTCCCAGGCAGTAGTACCTCCCTGTTTGGTAACTGCCTACTACCTGCATGGCACTAACACCGCGGTAATAATACTTTCAGTTATGACATGCTGCAAGGAATCTAGTTCCTGCCGGGTGTGTTCTGTACTCTTCGTTCAATACTGTATTAATATTTTGCTTGCACAATACCTCAACCAGAAAGATGATATAACTGAGTTTAACAGTGCTAAAAATTAACATAAAGGTCACTACCAGCCAGCCATGTGTTTCAGATGATTGCTCCATCTGCCTTCTCTCTTGTGCTTTGCCAAAAGTCTTCACAACTCAAAACTTTATTTCACTTCCAAATTATACACTTTGTCTTAAACCTCTACACCTTCATTGTAAATAAGTATAATATAAAATTCAAGAATACAAAACGTTTTTCTTTTATTTAAATTTCCACATATTACATAAATATAAATGATGAAAAATTGGACAATCAGGAAACTGGCAGATTGAAAAATCTACTTGTCTTCAAATGAGTTTAAGGTTTAATGGGAGTTGAGAGAGAATAATGACACACTGAAAGCTTATTTGTAGACTTAATAACATTACAAGTATTTGAGGATAATGAATACGTTAGTGTAACAAGTAAGGATACTGATGGTAAAAATAATTAAACAAACTTGCATTTAGTTCTGGGATTTTGCTAATAAGTCTAAGCATGGGACAAAAAACAAACATTGTAATGGCAAATTTTCATAAATCAAAGTCTTGTAAATCAGTCTGCCTGTACTGGAAATAAGTCACGTACAGTATCAGAAACAAGGGTGATCAGCAGCTGAAGTGGTGATGCCTGTGACTTGGTGGAATGGGGGCTACTCAAAGGGAGAGGAAGGAGTAACAGTTTATTTACCTTTCACACCAAAATGACTGTACAGTGAAACCTCACTAATCCTGACTCCAACCTTAAGGCTGAATGGGTGATTCACTAACAGTTTATGGTGACCCTAACCCAAACTTATCGTACAGCAAAGGTTACAGTGGCCACCGAGCACCCGTAAGCTTTCGCAAGGCGGAAATAACTCCCGTTTTCTCAACTATACAAACCGTTTCAAGACACACACACACACACAGCTGCCAGATGTAGAGTACTTCAAGTGTCACTAGTGAGAGTGAAGCTGTGTAGATGTAACTAAGGAATGTTGTAGCTCATGACTGTGCACCCCAGAGAGACAGTGTTTAGGGATCCTTTGGATCCTCTACAAAGTGAAACACTGTACAACCAACACGAACCAAAACTGCCACACAGAAATCCATTGTTTTCATATTCAATATTTTTGTAGAATATGTTTGTACACACAGGTAACAAAAATTAGACTTGAGAAAGACCTTTACTATCATTCCATTTAATGAAAAGCAGCAACTAATAACTCTCCTGCCAGGTGGTGGTCTTGAAGACTGGGAAGGAGCAGTTCATTAATTCAAAGTAAAAGAAGCCATGTGGAATATAGAGAGGAAAATTTATTGTACTTCAAATAGAGAACTTGTTAAACATATTTTGAGTAGGAAAAACCAAAGAGGGGTTGGGGACTCCAAGGGAGAAAGGAAGCTGAATTATCTTGGGGCCTCCATTGTGTGAACCTGTCTTGTAGAGATTGACTTTTACCACTTTAAATTCTGCTCCTCTATCTATATCCCTGACTTCTTGAGCTTTGTAAACCTCACTTTTGTGATTCTTACAGCTAATTAGTATTGCCAAATCATGCATATAAATGTTATTACAATGAATTGGGGTGACTTCAGATGATTTTTACGGTTCTTCAAGCTGCTGTTCAAGATATAAGGCCAAAAGCAGATGTTCAGTATCCTATTGGTGTGTGGGCCAATGGCCAAGCAATATTTCAAAGATCACAATTATTCTGGAACATAAACATTTATAGGGGTGTTCCAAGTCACCCCTGATCTGGGGGGTGGGGGGACTTGAGACCGCCATTACAATATACTGTAGATAGCCAATGAGTAACTCTGTACAGCCGGCGCTCAACACTGAATTGTGATTATTTGACCACAACATTTATATACAGGGAAATGATAGAGGCACAGGTACCTGCAAATTTAAGAATGTGAATGTGTATTTTGTGAATTACTACAACTCCAGTGTATTAAGTAGAAATTTTTTGTAAATTTTTAGTTGTCTGAAGTCATCCCAGGTCACCCTAAACTTACATATACTGTACAGTTACTTGGAACCTGGTGGTTGCTGGATAGGGTTTTTCTTCCAGAATTTGGAGTGCCAAGTGTAAAAATGTACAACATACAGTATATACAATAAACCTTCTGTAACTACCTGTGCTGACTGTGTTCAGATTACTAGATTCACCCTAAAAGTAGCTTGAGCTGTACACTGTAATATTAAAACTTAAAACTGTAAACACAAACATCACTAACAAAAGCACATAAATGCTATTAATGAAAGTATAACAAGTGCAAAAATTATACAAGTTACTGTACAAGCTGTGTCAGCAGTACTCTTTGTGCTCGCCTTAACAGTGCAGCAGCAGCAGCTGTGGTGGGGAATGGTTGGAAATATCTCCGCTCAGCCAAAGAATTACTTGGTGCTCATTTTAAATAATTCGTTCCAGAACACAGACAGTTTATGGAGCGTTCTGGATACTGGACAAATGGTCCCATATCTGTAGTAAATATAATCATGTCAAACTTTAACAAATATAGAATACAGATACATATTAACATAAATATTTACACTTATGGAATCATGCTATGTGCTGATACGTTTCTGACATTGAAAGTTTTGCAGTATTAATTCTTTCTTTAAAAAAATTATTTTTGTCACTGATTATACGTCCATTCAGCATACACCATAAAATAGTAAAAGATACTTGCTTGGAAAAATACACAATACCAGGGAAATATTTTACTCAGATAACATCCAAAGTCACCTCAGCTCACGTTAACTATTGCCAAAGGTTAAACACATGACTTTGTTAGGAGTGGAATACTTGAGTGTTACCCTATCTTCCACATATTTTCTGACTTACTGTCTTGCCTCAAGGTAAAGTACTGTAATGATATACTGTAGTAAATTTACACCCTGACAGTACATGATCACAACTATTGTTTTATCACAATGAAAGTGGTGTGTTAGTGTACCTTATTTAAATATAGTTTCCTTTATTTTAAGCACACCACTACGTATATGTTGAGTTGTCCTACCTTGAGATATTCTCTACAGTTATCGCGCCTAATTTCTTTCGTGCGCAAACAAGTGTTTCTTGAGATCCCCTTTACGTAAGAACAGTTTTCCACATTCAATACATCCAAACTTTTTGACGCCACTGTGTACTAGCAAATGATTCTGGAGAGTACTTTTTCTTAAAAAAAGTTGCCCACATTCATCACATTCAAAATTTTTGACACCACCATGTATAAGCATATGTGTGTTGAGAGTACTCTTCTGTGAAAATTTTTTCCCACATACACTACATCCAAATTTCTTTATGCCATTGTGGATAAGCAAATGTTTCCTAAGGTTACTCTTGTGTGAAAAATATTTCCCACACTCATTACACTCATACTTTTTTATACCACTGTGTACAACCTTATGGTTAGTGAGAGTGCTCTTATGTGAAAACAATTTCCCACAATCATCACATTTAAAATTTTTGATTCCATTGTGCGTAAGCAAGTGTGTCCGAAGACGGCTCTTGAAGGGAAACTCCTTCCCGCATTCCTCACAGGAGATCTTTTTGTCTTCACTTGACATTTTGACCTACTTGCTCTCAAGATGTGATGTCACCAATCTGAAATAAAACAAATTGCTTAAGAGATATTCAAATCATAAAATACAGTACAGTAGTCACAATTTGATTTATAGGAAGTACCTATACTACTCCCATTATTTTGAATTTTCATAGGTCAGTTCAGTACAATGCATGTTGGGCACAATTTCACCTAACTCCCACTAAACGTCTCACAAAGCACCTCCCTTGCACCCTTCTCCTGCCACAATAGGCATCCTCTCAGTCATGCACTAGCTTCCCTAATGTGCAGATGTGTTTATCGATGCTCGTGTCTACAACCTTTCTTCAATCGTCTGTGTGTTGCATACAGTATTACAGTATCAGTTACACTGTACAAGCATCCTGTAATCACCCTAGTGCCAGTGCATCTGCCATGAAAAAAGGAAGACCTTCAATCTTAAAGAAAAGGTAAAAATCCTTGATGAACTTATGCATGGTTCAGGGGCCTCAGTTGTAGATTGCCATTAAGGGATTAATGAGAGCACAATTCATAAAATGAAGATGAAGTTAGGGGTAATAAGAGAAGTATATTTAGAGTCAACAATTTCAAAGAAGCTGTCAATGTATGAGAAGATGGAGGAAGCACTAACAGTCTGCGTAAGGAAATGCAGGTTCAACAATTTCCGCTAAATGGGCCAATGATCAAGAATAAAGCCATAGAAATACAAGAAGAGATAATGAAGAAAGAAGGTAAGGAGTCTAATGAAATGAAATTCACTGCTTGCAAGGGATGGCTCCATAATCACATCACAGAGGAGTGTGACGCTTGCAGGGGAAGCTGCGTCTGGCAATTACAAAGCTGCTGGGAGAGTAAAGGTGGAATTATTGGACTTCACAGAGGAAAATGGCTTTACTCGTGATCAAATCTGCCATGTTGATGAGACTGGCCTTTAATGGAAAATGATGCCACAAAGAGAGTACTGTACTCCCTTGCATTAAACAAACAAAGCATTCCTAGAGACAGGCATTTAAAGTGAACCTCCCCGACTTACGACCTACTCGACTTGCGTCCACCCGCACTTACGACCTGCCTCAGTTGTACCAAAATTTGGTCAAATTACGTATTTTTGAGTCCCAAAGTCAGTACACAGACAAAATTTTCATCTGTAATTCACTTTAAAATGGCTGGCAAGCTTAAAAGTGAGAGTTTTGTGGTGCTGAGAAGAAAAAGAGACACCCATTTTCGATTTTCATGTGTTATTTAAGCATTACCGACTTACGACCATTTCAACTTCCGACCTGGATGTCGGTCCCTAACCCCGTCGTAAGTCGGGGAGCAGCTGTATATATGTGTGTGTGTGTGTGTGTGTGTGTTCCGACTTAAGTACAAATCTGACTTACAAACGTCCTCAGGAACGGAACCCGCTCGTAACCTGGGGACCCCCTGTATATCAATGGTGCATTACAGGTGGACAATGAGGAATGCAAGTTATAATTTCTTAAAACAAATCCTTTTTCATATTGTATGAAAAAACGACACATAAACCAAACCATTACTAAGTCATAATACTATACCTCGGTGTACCATTAAGAAATGCAGATTCTGAGCAGACTGGCAGCTTGTCTCTATCTTTGACAGCCACTATCTTTGTGTCATCAACATGCACCAGTTGGTCTAGGTGACAGAGAAGCCTGCGGGAGGGAGTAGTGTGAGACAGACATACAAACGTAACATTCTAGAACAGGGGTCTGGGTTAATCATTAAACTAAGGAAAAAAATATAATTTTGCATTATTTTTAACTTAACTATATTGATATATAATTGTTGTAGGGTGGTGAATTCTTCAGGTGGAGTAGACTACAGTGAAGATTCTTCAAGTGATCCAATAATAATATCCCAAATTAGATGAATATGACACTCATAGCAATTACTTGGATATGTAATTTTTCAACTAATAATAACACCTGCAAGTACGTATTTGTGAAGCAATAACATGACCAACAAAAGAATCTATCTACCTAACCTAGGATAGTATTTTATTATTATTGGGATTGTTATTCTAGACTACGGTACTACCGTGTTTGGTTCATGTGGGCATATGATACAGAGAGGCTTAGCATGGGGGAAAGTTTGTCAATAAAATATCAAGTTTGTGTTATAATCTGACATTTCCCTCTTCAAAGCCCTGCCCAACTTGTGGATATTAATAGTGGAGGAGAAATGGGCCATAACTTAATATTTACACAATAAATGGTTATCACCAGCTGACACAGCATAAAAACATCTCTTAAAAAATCATGTCTCGTTGTTGGGTCAGGAAACCAGTGTTTTAAATATATAAACACTAATAAAGAGTATATAAGTCGACCAAAGACAGCCCAAAATAGCCATAATATGCCTATATTTATTAGGATCCAGAGAGGCGTGCAGCGATACATTACTTCTCACACAGATGACTGAGGCTTCACCTTAATATTTTGATTTTGGCTCAACTGGCCTCATTCACTAGCTCCTTCCTGTCAAAATAAAATCAATTATTTAAGATCACTGAGGGCCAGCAGTCATCATGTAGAAGTACAGTAGTATGATGATAACATGAACAGCATAACCGGCTGTACAGTAAGGGGGTCAAGTGACGCTACCACTGTATCTTCTTCCATAACTAGCCACACCAACAGAGTATAATTAACAACCTCTCACGACAGACTGTGGCTATGATAAAAAGATCTATAAGTTAGTGAAGGTTGTAGTATGTGTAGTGTACATGAAACTCACTAAATGTTTACGGCGTCTTGTTGTTTAACTCAATGTTTGAAAACAACTACGAACAAAATATTATAACCCTTTCTTTTTAAAGCAGATGATTTAAACCACCTTATATAAAAGTATCCTTGGATTGTTTATTTAGGTTGAATTTGTTTCTTTCGCCTTGTCTGAAGAATAAATGATGTAATATTGTTGAAGTTATTTCCCAATAATGGTTGTATTATACCTTTATAATGTTGCCGCTAATCCACCGTACATGATTCTAATGGCCAGTAAGCATAAAACAGATATCAACCTCTATAAATTTCTCAAGGACTGCATCTGTTAATATCCATATTTCATAGAAGGGTCTTGTATAATTTAGATGCCAGTTTTACAAATAAATATCTTTATCTGTGAATTGATCATAGATGATATGCTAGAGCTAAAAAAGTATTGGCAAAATAATTGTCCTATATATTATTTTCTAAATTCTTCTCAACTGATGACCGTAGGACACTTTGCTAAATCTCTACTCATTCCTTAGAAAGAGACAACCAAACTATATTTAAGGTAGAAATGGGTTAATATAATTATGTAAGACAGAAAATGGGTGGTAATATCAACAATATTTACCTAGATTTTGCCAAGGCTTTCGACAGTGTACCCCATGAAAGGCTGAAAATTAAAATGGAATGGTACGGAATTCGGGGAAATGTCCTAGCATGGATTGAAGACTTTCTACATGACCGCAAGCAGTGTGTGGTGGTTAATGGCACGAAATCGTCATCCGTACCTGTCACAAGTGGGGTACCACAGGGCAGTGTATTGGGCCGCTGCTGTTGTTTGTTTGTTTCATAAATGACATGCCTGACGTTGTACACTCCTCCATACAAATGTTTGCCGATGACGTTAAGTTATTTCGGGAAATTAAGAACCAAGCTGACTGTGAAGAGCTGCAGAAGGACCTCTGTGGGCTCGAGGAATGGTCGAAGGAATGGCTGTTGAGATTCAATGTCACGAAGTGTAAGAGGATGCACCTGGGGCGTACCAACGGTAAGCAGGGGTATCATATGTCCCAACGGGATGAAGAAACTGCACTAGTTGAGACTGAATGTGAGAAGGACCTAGGTGTGTATGTTGACAATGAGCTGAAGTTCTCGGGCCATTGTGAGAAGAAGGTAAACCAGGCAAATAAATTATTGGGTCTTATAAGAAAGTAGTTCAGATATCTAGACGATCCGTCCCTCGTAACGATCTTCAAGAGTGAAGTGCTTCCCCATCTGGAGTACTGTCATCCCATCTGGTCCCCGAGATATGCCTGCACTTCGGCACCTCAGCTACCCTGAGAGATTGGAGCGCCTGAACTTGCCTAGCTTATATTACAGACGGGCAAGGGGTGACCTAGCTGAGGTGTATAAGCCTCTCAGGGGCACTACTCAGTCAAGTGTCCTGACTTGGAGCCGGCGGACGCTCGCCCCACAAGGGGTCACAGCTCAAGATTGAAGAAGCCGCAAGTCCAGAAAACTGTGAGGGCAAACTTTTTCGGAGTGAGAGTTGTGAACTCTTGGAACAATCTACCAGAGTGTTGTGACGGCACCGAGTGTGAGCTCTTTCAAGACAAGACTTGACCAACACTGGAGCGGGTTCAGGTACATTCAGGAGCCGGTGCATGCCCAGTATTTGCCAACAGTGCATGACAGAGACGTGACCGATCGCCCGGGCGGCTAGCGAGCTGATCTTTTGGTGAAGAGGATAAATGAAAAGAACAGTAATCAGAGACGTGACCGATCGCCCAAGCGGCTGACGAGCCGATCAGTGGCGAAGAGGGTGAAAGTGAAAAGTGAATGTAAGGCAGAAAACGGATTAATATTATTTTATAAGGCAGGAAATGGGTTACTTAATTAAACCAAAATATAAATGTTCGACTCCTATAATGAGGGAGCTGAGGCAATATTTTCATAGCTGTAACACGACTAAAAGACCCCAACAGCTTTCACGAGCAAGTGAGCAGTATCAAAAGCCTTGTTTACTTTCATTTAAAAAAGTTGAATACATTCTCTTCTACTCCAATTTGCATCTTTATAAAGATCTTTTAAAGTGTGCTGAAGGCCTTTGTTTCTTGGTGAAGGCGGGGGATGTGGGTCAGGCTGTAATTCTTGAGAGATTGTACGTCAAACTTTCTCCCGAGTAGTGATTTAAGGAGGCATCTCACAGGTTCATTTAAACTTGGATACAGAAGGTCAGGCAAAATGGCGTCGAATCTGCACTGCGACTTTATCGAAATAACATGGGTTAGGTATCATAGGTTGATAGCATGCCTATCTTTGGGAAAGTAGACCCGTCTTGGCATACTTTTAATGATATCAATTTAACTTTGCATATATTCACCATATTGTGATAGTGAGACAAGGTACTGATACTCCTTGGTAGCAAGTCCTTAAGCTTGAAGGTTTTAGATACGTTTTCGTTTATATTTGCAATACTGGAATGACTGAAAGAAAAAAAATTAATAGAGACGTGACCAATCGCCCAAGCGGCAAACGAGCCGATCAGTGGTGAAGAGGATAAAAGTAAAAGTAAATGTATTACCCAAATCACCCGTTTGGCGCAACCTGCCGCTACCATCACTGTACCATAACTCTTCTATCTGATTATTTTATTTTTAGTTTGATCTTGAGATAATCGTACAGTGAAGGTAGTGAAGCGTTTGCTTAGTGTTAGGGAATCATGTGAGGTAATGTGTGTTGTGGTGGAGGCTGGCGTCTGGCCTGGGCAATACAATGTATCTCACCCGCTAGCTATGGAGATGAGGCGCTCACATCAAAGGCCGCGTTCAGACGAGACATCCGCGGAGAAAATTACTTCCGAATATGCAAGTAACAGTTTTACATAACATGTTATAACGTGCGCCTTGCTCACACCATTATTGAAGCGAATATTTAAACATAGCCCTGAGTTTGAGCACGGTGACTGCCTTTACTTATTATAATGAGGTGGCCATAATACCACCAGCTGCCTGGCCAGTGTGAGGTGACCATGACACCACCAGCTGCCTGACCAGTGTGAGGTGAACCATGCTTGTCAGTGTGAGGTGGCCATGACACCATCAGCTGCCCATAATACCACCAGCTGCCTGGCCAGTGTGAGGTGACCATGACACCACCAGCTGCCTGACCAGTGTGAGGTGACCATAACACCACCAGCTGCCTTGTCAGTGTGAGGTGGCCATAACACCACCAGCTGCCTTGTCAGTGTGAGGTGGCCATGACACCATCAGCTGCCTGACCAGTGTGAGGTGGCCATGACACTACCAGCTGCCTGACCAGTGTGAGGTGACCATAACACCACCAGCTACCTTGTCAGTGTGAGGTGGCCATAACACCACCAGCTGCCTTGTCAGTGTGAGGTGGCCATGACACCACCAGCTGCCTTGTCAGTGTGGGGGTGGCCCATAACACCACCCAGCTGCCTTGTCAGTGTGAGGTGGCCATGACACCATCAGCTGCCTTGTCAGTGAGGTGGCCATGGCACCTGGCTGCCTTGTCAGTGTGGTGGCACATGGCACCACCAGCTGCCTTGTCAGTGTGAGGTGGCCATGACACCAGCTGCCTTGTCAGTGTGATGGCCATAACACCAAGCTGCCTTGTCAGTGTGAGGTGGCCATGACACCATCAGCTGCCTTGTCAGTGTGGGGTGGCCATGACACCACCAGCTGCCTTGTCAGTGTGGTGGCCATGACACCACCACACTTGTCAGTGTGTCAGCTGTCTTGTCAGTGTGAGGTGGCCCATGACACCACCAGCTGCCTTGTCAGTGTGAGGTGGCCATGACACCACCAGCTGCCTTGTCAGTGTGAGGTGGCCATGACACCACCAGCTGCCTTGTCAGTGTGAGGTGACCATGACACCACCAGCTGCCTTGTCAGTGTGAGGTGGCCATAACACCACCAGCTGCCTTGTCAGTGTGAGGTGGCCATGACACCACCAGCTGCCTTGTCAGTGTGAGGTGGCCATGACACCACCAGCTGCCTTGTCAGTGTGAGGTGGCCATGACACCATCAGCTGGCTCTCTTGTGTATAGACACGACCTCTCACCCAGGAGGCGGCTCACAATAAAATAATTATATATCTTACGACACAGACCTCGCGGATGCTCGCCCCACAAGAGGCCACAGTCTCAGGTTGAAGAAGCAACACGTTCATAATATTGTGAAGGCAAACGATTTTGCAGTGAGAGTTGTGAACTTTTGGAAGAATCTGCCAGCGAGGGTTGTGACGTCACCGAATGTGAGTTCATTCTAGACCAGACTCGACCAACACTGGTGTAGGTTCAGATACATTCTGAAGCCAGTACTGTACATGCCCAGTACTTACCAACAGTGCGTAAAAGAGACGGAATCGACTTTAACACTTCTTACCCGCCCCTCCTGAACATTGTACAGTGATTCCATTCTACCCACCCTTAATACCTTAACAGCTATAAGAATGCTTACATCTTGTCCCTCCTCTTTCTCACTTACTCCTTCTTAATTGATATGTTTCATTGCTTCACATCCAAACAGGGTCTTTCTATCTCTTTATCTTTTAACTTTAGCAAACGACAATTGTTTTCAGTCTCCGGCCTTATTGGGTAATTGCTTCACGCTGATGTTTGTAAGTTTAACCTGTATGACAACATGACGAGCACACTTCCCTGCTGACACACTGTCCATACAACCATCAAGTGCAAGAGTCCTTTTGTTCTAAAAGTATATCTTGATATAACCATACCCAAACTAACCAAGTCATTATGAATAGGCCTCGATCTTAAAGGACTCTGTTGCTAATTGGCTTAAGTAATGGTGGTTAGGGTATGTTAGGTTGAGGCATATTAGAGCTTGAGCCTAATTGACACGCAGTCGTGTTTCTGCCTGGTTCAAGGGGCTCTCCTGTGGTCTCCTGTGCCAGACGGCGGTGTAACCGACCAGGCAGGATACAAAGTGCATATTTATTCAACAAACACAGACGTGTTCGTTGTAGGTCCACGTTGACTTCCACTGTTTGTGCCTGGACGAGCGTGTTGT